ATTGTAATTATTTTACTATTTAAAATTATAGAATTATCAAAACAATTATTAACTATAGGTTTTTTTATTTTTAGATTTGAGGTACTACTGATAATACTCAAATGCCAAACTTACTAATTTTTTCGCAATCCAATAGTATCAAAGAAAAGTCTATAACACCCTCAACTCCAGCAAATTTAATGCCTTTTTTTTGCTATGCCACCTCAAATGGCTTCATTTGCATAAAATTTAAATATGAATAATTCTTTAAGTTCGTCATTAGTTTTAAAACAGCCAATTCCACTTCTATTTCTTAATGAATTTTTTACTAAATTGGATTAATTATCAGGTGGTATCGAAGAATTTGTAAGATTCAAAAATATTTTTGAAAATGAGCAAATTACTGTAGATCAAATTTATGATCTTACAGATGTGGAATTTGATCAATTAGGCGTAAATAAAATTGGATGGCATAAAACATTTAGAGCTGCAGCACAGCGTTACAAATAGTATTATAGTATAGGAGTATAATATTATAGTTAGTAATATAATGTTACAAATAACAATAATTTCAAATTTTATAATAAATGATTTTTTTTGAAATTAATACGCCTATTATAGTTAATAATATATTCTCTTAACCTTTAATTTATCTTTTTATTATTTAAAATGTCTTTGATAAAATTTCTATTTATTTTGCCATTATATATCTAAGATCAAAGTAAACTTAATCTTTACAAAATATATTACATATAAATTGAATCTTCAAAAAATTTTGTAGCCATATGTGAAGTAATTTGAGCACATGTAATAAGAAGAGGATATTTAGGATCATTACATGAATTAACAAAATTTCTATATTTTTTTAAGAATAATTTATAACGGAAACTTAGATTTAATAGGATTAAAATCTGAAGAATAGGGAGATAAAAATTCAACACGTCCACTAAAAGATTCGATATATTTTATGAGATCTCTGTCATGATGGATTCGTACATTATCAAGTATAAGAATACTGTGTTTAGCAGGATATGCAATAATTAGGCACCTGGTATAAAAAAAAAGAACAATAAATTAAAAAATACATAATAATATTTTATCAGAAAAATTTTAACTTACCACATTTGAAATAACAAATTCTTTAAATCTCTCTTTGGAACAACTACCTTCCATTATATCTATAGTGATAATATCCTGTAAAGATAAGGCAGGTAGTATAGTATATCGTATTTCACACATGAACATATTCTTTTTAATTGCAAAAGTATTTTTAAAAGAATATTCATATCTACGAGAGAGTGTACATTCATCTTTTGAAGTTTCGTCTATAAATATAAGTTGTTCAGGCTTATATTTACACCTAACCTTTGTAATAAATGTACTTCAAAGGAGTTTATTTCGTTCATGAGCTGCTCAATATAACTTATATAAATGAAACAATTAGCAATAAATAATGATGATCGTGATACAATTTGAAAGCATAAAATTTACCTTTTTTCTACTGATTTCACAATAAACTAAAGACTGCCAAAGAGTTGATATAGAAACTAATTTACCTGTTAATAACTCAAGTTCTCCAACTAATTCATCTAAATACCAATCTACTTTGTTCTTGACTAATTCTTGCAATACCTAAATTGATAGTATCAATTAAAATAATAATATAACATTTGTTTAATAAAATACACACCTTCATATCACTCCAAGTTAGTGTTTTATGACGTCTTAATGGTCTTTGCCAAGGATCTACAACTGTTTTCCATCGCACATATATTTGTAAAACTTTCTTAAAAGTACCTTTACAAATATGTAATAATTTGGCAATTTTTTCTTGATTATGACCATCATGATAAAGAAAAACAATTCTCCACTTCAAGTCTTCACTAAAAGCACGAACTATTTAAAGTTTATACTTGTAAAAGTTCTGAAAATTGGGAAATCAGTAGAAATCACAAATTTTAAATAAAATAAATTTCAAAAAGTATATAATAACTTGAGTCAAAACTTAAGAAATAGCTGTAAATAAACTTATTAGTCTAAATTTTGCTGGGAAATCGTAAGTAATTGCAGAAAAAAAGTACCATATGCTTATTGGATTTAAAATTTTCATGAAAATTGGGGATCTTTTTTAACTGATGATCGATATAAGGTTACACTATTTTGAAAACAGCGATAAAGAAAAGAGAATTCTAAAAGAATTATAAAAATAAGATTGCGAAACTCTGAGAATTGAAAAATTGTAAAACACTTGTGAAACTCTAAAGGAATCGCAAATTATTTGCAAAACTTCAAGGGAATAGCAAAGTATTGTGAAACTCTTAAGAGAATCGCAAATTACTTGCTAAACTCTGAGAATTGAAAAATTGTAAAACACTTGTAAAACTCTAAAGGAATCGTAAATTATTTGCGAAACTTCAAGGGAATAGCAAAGTATTGTGAAACTCTTAAGAGATTCGCAAATTACTTGCGAAACTCCAAGGAGAATCGTAAAGTAATTGCGAAACTCTAAGAGATTCGCAAATTACTTATAAAACTTCAAGGAAATCACATAGTAATTGCGAAACTCTTAAGAGAATCACAAATTACTTGCAAAACTCCAAAAGGAATCACAAAGTAATTGCAAAACTCTAAGAGATTCGCAAATTACTTGCGAAACTCCAAGAAAAATCGCAAAGTAATTGCAAAACTCTAAGAGGATCACAAATTACTTGCAAAATTCTAAGGGAATCACAAAGTAATTGTGAAACTCTTAAGAGAATCGTAAATTACTTGCAAAACTTTAAGGGAATAGCAAAGTAATTGCGAAACTCTTAAGAGAATCGCAAATTACTTGCAAAACTCCAAGGGGAATTGCAAATTACTTGTGAAACTTTAAGGGAATCACAAAGTAATTGCGAAACTCTTAAGAGAATTGTAAATTACTTGTGAAACTCTAAGAGGAATTGCAAAGTAATTGCGAAACTCTAAGAGAATCGCAAATTAATTGCGAAACTCCAAGGGAAATTGCAAAATAATTGCGAAACTCTAAGAGATTCGCAAATTACTTGTGAAACTCCAAAGGAATCAAAAAGTAATTGCAAAACTCTTAAGAGAATCGCAAATTACTTGTGAAACTCTAAAGGAGATTGCAAAGTAATTGCAAAACTCTAAGAGAATCACAAATTACTTGCAAAATTCTAAGAGAATCGCAAAGTAATTGTGAAACTCTAAGAGATTTGCAAATTACTTGTAAAACTCCAAGGGAATCACAAAGTAATTGCAAAACTCTTAAGAAAATCACAAATTACTTGCAAAACTCCAAGGGGAATTGCAAAGTAATTGCAAAACTCTAAGAGAATCGCAAATTACTTGCAAAACTCTAAGAGAATCGCAAAGTAATTGTAAAACTCTAAGAGAATCACAAATTACTTGCGAAATTCAAGAAAATCGTGAAATAATTGTAAAACTCTTTGGAAAATCGCACATTAGGTTCTCTTCAAGATTTGAATATATCAAACTGAGCTTTCAGATTAATTCAAAATTTTCAGTTTAGTTCAGATTTTTACTGGTTTACAGTTCAGTTCAGTTTTAGATTGGCATTTTTAAGATTTATAATCTGAACCAAATTGAATAGAAATTTTCAGTTCAGTTTCAGATTAGCTTATAATCCAAACTGAACTGAACCGTTTGGAATATTAGCTATTAATGAGAATTTTCCTGCAATTTGATGAAGTTTGTTGGTAATATTATTCTTTTGCATAGTAAAAGTATTAATTATCAAACCT